CTGAAGGAGCCAGGGATGATGCTGCCTGGAGAGGTGGCAAGATCAACTGGTGGTTTCCATCATTGAAGGATGGAAGGAGAAAGCAGGAGGCACCTAAAAATCTGGTAAAGCAAAGAGAAGAGACTGCCCCACCATCTGTCCCACCACAGAGAAAAGAGCTCTACAGGAGAAAGCAGAGGAAGGTGCTACAGGCCTCAACTGCACTGGCCGTGTATGGCAGGAGACCCAGACCCTGAGGTCCAGAGGGCAGCAAGGAACCCACCGTACTTAGGGAAGCTCACACCAGCTCCATAGGCACCCAGGGAGGAGACTCAGTCCAGGTGGGCAGCATGGAGAGAAGCAACACCCAGGCCGTATCTCAGAGGGAGTCCGTTCGCTTACGGGCAAACACAGCCGACATAGTCTTGACGATGCCACGAATCCTTGTGCCCTTTTTCAGGGCCAGTTTGGTGTCAGGGATGCGCTTGGCCAGTCCATGGAAGACCATGAGAGCCCCATGATAAGCCTCGGCTGCAGAGACCTCATAGAAACCACAGTCTAGAGAGAGGGCCAGGAGCCGTCCCTCCTCGCTGGACACCACCCTCTGATGGTGCAGGTCACATTTGTTGCCCACAATGACAATGGGCACCTTCTCCTGGCTCTGCCCTTCCTTGGCTGCCTTGATGAACTGGATTTTGAGTGGCAGGATGTTGAAGCTGGCCCGGTCACAGATGCTGTAGACCAGGACAAAGCTGTCTGCCCACTGGATTCGCTTCTCCTCTGAGGATCCCTCCTCTGTCTGCTCCTAAGGAAATGGAAAAGGAAGGTTTCTTTACCTGGCTTCTTCCCTCCACTCCTGCCTGCTAGCACAGGGTTCAGTGCTCCTCAGCCTGTCAGGACCGGGCAGCTGGTAACCTGTGCTCTGCAGGCAAGAAGGGTTTAGCTGCCTACAATGTCATGTCTCATCTGACATAAGAGTTTTACCTATTACAATGGTTTCCCCTCATGTAACTTTTAGTAGAGGGTTTTTCTCTCCCTGAGGTGAAAACAGGCCTTGGGAGAAGAGCCCTCTCACCTGGGAACTGGGGACATCCCAGATGTGGAGGAGAATCTCTCGGCCATCCACACTCAGGTTGTGGCTGTAGATGAACTCTGCCAAAAGAATGAGAAAGAAAATTAGCATCTTCACAAACACAAGAGACAGCTCCCTCAACCCAGGTCTCCAACCTCCTGGGGACAAGCCGGTCACATCCATGCTGGGAGACCATGCTCTACAAGGCAAGGTCTGGGGTCAACAAACACACCAAGTATGATGGTGTCCAGGGCTTGGGACCACCCCAGCCTCCTTCCATCCCAGTATGCAGTCCAGGCACACTGGTGCCACCAGCTGCCACCTTTTGCACCCCAGAGATGCAATTCTAGAGCAAAGAGATGAGTCAATGAACAAATATAATCATTAAGACCCTGACAGGAGACAAAGGCTCTGGAGAAAGGCTGCAGAGGATAGGAAGTAATGCACTCCTGGGGGCAGGAGCAGGTCTGTCTCTGGACCCCTGTCCCTCCCAGGAACTGGCTCAGCACTCACCCATGTCTCCATACTCCCCGATAAAGCGCCGGGTGAGGAAACGGACAGTCAGAGCTACAGGGGAGAGAATGAGAATCATCAGAATAACCCGAAACATTTTCCTTTTTAAATCCCAGCTGAGCCAAGCTCCATTCCCCCTGTTAACTCCCACCAGCAGGAACAACCTCCAGTTTTCTCCCAGTCCTTGGTGGTCTCCAAGCAGAACAGAGGCACAGCACAAACCATGATCAGCACACCACAGCTCAGCAGAAAATACCTTCCCCAGCCACTCACCCACCACCTGCAAGGTTTGTGCTCAGCGTCCCCACCACACCTGAAAGCTCCGCCCCACCTCCCCAACTTGCTCCACGGGGTTGCTGTCTGCAGTTCGTTCTCCAAACGCTGCTGCACTTTTCCGGATCATTTTTGCAGGAGAAATGGGTCTCCCTGCCTGGGAACTCTCAGCTCGTGGTCGGTTCTTACCCGATTTCCCCACGTTGTCCGCTCCCATAACGAGAACATTCGCTTCCACCTTCGGGGCGGCGGGGCCGGGCAGCTCCGCCAGGGCAGGGTGCCCGGGGGTGAAGCTGGCGCTCC